CACAATATTTGCAGTGGCTGAGGCTGGTAAAGTGGGACACACTGAGCAGGGTAAAAAGAATTTAAAGATGTATCAAAGAGACACGTGAAGACAGAAGAGAGGTAGCAAAGAAGAGTATTCCAGAGGACAATGTCATGGTGGCTGAAGGTTCGGCTACCAATAGTGGAGTGAAGGGAATGGGGAACAAGCTATAGACCAGAATACAGAGTAGGAAGAGTGGAGGGAATGGGCTGGATGGGCACAACGCAAGCTGCCAACATTGTGGCAAACCACCAAACACAAAACCTGAACAGCTAGCAAACTAAAGCTATACACTGTATCCTACTTAGAAGTAAATGCCAGCAGGAGGTCAAATGACATTTGTTAAAATAGTCTTTTTAAAACATCTGTTGAGATTTTCTTATGGACGATATGGGAAACACATTAAGTTAACGTCTCTCCAATAGAGCTAAGATTGTACACCAACCATAATTCTTCCGATAGTGTTGAATAGAAGAGATCAAAGAAGTAACTTAAAGATTGTAGCATTCCTCAAATCTGTAATGGACTGTGCCTTTCGTCTGTTGCTCAAAAGGATGCTAAAGATCCCATGACTATTTGGAAAGACATGGAGGGTTCTCCGTATCCTGGTCAACATTCCAGATAAACTGGGTTTTTCTTCATTCCCTGAATGTTTATGGAATGTTGCTGTGTTCAAAAGGGCTGCTCTTTTTTGCCTCTAAAAACACAGTCACTAAATTTGATAACTTACCCGTAAAATGTTTCAACATTATAGATTATATCAAAATGCAAGGTTTATTATTCTTATCCTTGTAACCCTCAATTCACTTACAAAATACGCAGTCAAATCATTTTACAGTATATCCTGTGAAGCGCTTTGAGACGTCTTGACGACATGATAAGGTGCTATATCAAATGCATTATTGATTATTATTATATAGTATAATTCCTCTCCTAACTAGCTATTCATCCAAGGTGTAAATCAAAACACAGAGTTAAAGTTCTTTCTAACCATAGCTTTGTGGAGAATGCAGATTTCTTCCAATAAAGGAAACTCATTCAGTGAGGAATAACAGTTGAGTGAGTCTGGGGTCCAATCATTGCAATTTTTGTCAGAGCAACATTCAAAATACTGTACGTTTCTCAGCTTGTGCTCGACAGTGACACTGCTGGTTTTCAGGAAACTGTATTGAAGGAGAGATCCTGAAGACCTGTTGATGCCCAAGGCTAGTGCTGCAACTGTACTGTACTTATAAGCAATAAGTCCCTTATTGCTGGCAGAGCCATCAGCAAGTATTCCTCTAATTTCTGGAACTTACTCCTTCTACCCAGTTGGGCTCCCTCCCTCTCTAACTGCCGAAAAGCAAGCTCTTTGATTGGGCCTGTGGTCATTTTCTCCCCTCCTCCCTTGTTCGATGTCCAACCCCTTTGGTGTGAATCGTTCTGATAGGTTATCCTATGTGAAGGGTGCTGAAAAACTGCAACTGCAATGACAATTTAATCCGAAGGATTGTTGGCCAGCACAGTGGGAAGGATTCCCTTTTCTTTTTGATTGGTACCGTGGGATCTTTAACATCCACCTGAACGGGTGAGGAGGAGTAGTGAGGAGCTTCACTAACATTGAGCATAACAATGTTATAACAATGCATAACAACGCATAACAATAAAGCATTCTTTACCTGTGTAAGCTAATCAGTAAGCATCAACGGGCAGTTTGACAGTGAAGGGCATCTGAGCTGAGCCAGATACCACCCTCACTCAATCTCTACCCGGGCACTTTCCAACAAAGAGAGGAGATTACACGATAGTAATGGGGAGGGGAGGGAGCGATGATGGCTTCTCCTATTCTTCTTTCCTAGCCCATGGACATTGAGACCAATTCTATTGCTTTCAGCCACTGTCCCTCAAATCTGTGCAACTCCCTGCCTCAATCCTTCCTTCTTGCCCCCTCTTTGCCCTTCTTCAAATCACACCTGAAGAGCTTCTTCTCCGACCGTGTCATCGGCCACCTCCCCTCTCTTTCCAGCTCAGCTGTTAAGAGTTCCAAGACACTACTCGCATGAAGGGCACTATATAAATGCAAGTTGTTGTTGTTGTAAGACCCCAGCTGAGATCATCACAGACCAGGAACTGAACTTGGAACCTTTATGACATGTATGGCTAAGTGACTTTGCTCATCAAGCCATTGGTACCTAAGGTTATTTTAATTTCCCCGCAATTAGCATTTCTGCCCTTTTCCCTTTCCTTATGAAATGCTGTGCACTGTCCAGCGCCTTGGAACGTCCTCCTGACGTGAAAGGCGCTATACAAATGCAATCTCGTTGTTGTTGTTTTCCTTGACCCTTGTGACAGCGACAATCCATTTGCTGCATGACCCTTGGCAGCACTGTAACTTCAGAACATGCTCTCATTTTTATTACTTTGCTTAATCTGGTAAGGCAGTCTCTATACATTCCTTTGTAGGTACTCACAGTGGCAGTGAGCAAGCAGTCACCGTTTTATGGAGGCGTTTATGAATATGGAACATGCTGAAAACCAGGAAGTGGACAAAATGGGCATCTTTTTTATGTGTTATGAGGTTGAAGATTTACTGTAGGACACTTGTGATAGTTGTAATTAACACTGTTGCTTTATCTTGGTTACAGGTGTACTATTCACTGCTGTTCTCATGACTATATGCAAATATATTGTTGCAAATTAAAGGAGTATAGTCCTTGAGATCCTGACATAGTTCAGTTAGGTAAAGGTAGAGAGTGAAAATGAGCATTACAGATGGAGAAGGTCCCAGGTTGGATCTCTGCTTATTTAGTTTATCTCAGACAAGGTGACCGCAGATGGATTGGGTTAGTTTGGGGAGGGGGAGATTCAGTTCTTGATCATTATCCAGTGCCCTCTGCTGGAATATTTGTGCTCGCTTAAAAATACACAATCATTACACTATACAGTAAAAGTGTATCCTGTGAAGGGCTTTGAGCCATCCTCCCAACGTGAAAGGTGCTTTACTAAATGCAAGTATTGTTATTTTTGTGTTGGGTTTCAAGCATCGATACCAATCGATTAGGGCTGTGATGCTCCATCCCTCCCCCACCGCCCAGCCCCAAAGTCTGGAACACTCGTGTGCATGGAGGATGGCAAGATTCAAGAGCTTCAGAGGAAGAGGGGCAATTGAGAAGGAAATTTTTAAAAAAATTAACAAGGAAAGCTCTTTAAGTCACACAAATTTGACTGGGGCAAAGCAACACAGGAAGAAGGAAAAACACCGTGCGTTGCAATACACACGACTCATTTTTTTTTGTCGCGCGTGGCTGACTTGACTGTGAATTGGTGACCAAAACACGGACACGGGGTATGTCTTTTCTGCACAAGTCGGATTTGCCCCCCATCGGGGGGCAAACTCGTAGTAGCCGGAGGGCATTGGTCAGCGCGCGGGGCGCTCCAGGTTTATTATGAATGGACGGAACCTTCCCCGCGCCGCTCGTGATTGGCCCACGGTGTCAATGGAGGGCGGGGCAACTGGGGGGGGGGAGGGGGCGGGACCCGCCACTTGATTGGTCAGGAGCGGCGGCGGCCCGGCGCTGATTGACAGGCGGCCAAACGCTCGGCTACATTGTGCTTTTTAAAAAGTAACTCCGGTGCGAGAGCCGCGGAAAAAGGGGCGGCGGAGTGGGAGCCGCAGCCGCAGCCCGAGGGGAAGGGGAAGAGTTCGGAAGTTGGGAAAAACAGCCGCCAGAGGGTAAAGGAGAACACGCCGACGTAGAGGAAGGAGAGCCGGAAGAAAAGCAAAAAGAAAAAGGGTGGAAAAGCACAGAGGAGGAGAAGAGGGGAAAAAAAAACAACGCACCTCCGCTCTTTTTTTTTGGAGAGGTGCAAAGAAAAAAAGCTTTACCTGCAAGAAACTTGTGTGGGTGGGTGTGCGGTGTGTGGGGGGCGGTGTGTGTGTGGGGGTTGGGGGGGGGGAGTGTGTTTCACAGCCAGAGATCAACCATCGGGGGATTAAGTGCAGTGGTAATGGACTGAGAGAGAGAGAGAGACAGAGAGAGAGAGAGAGACAGACAGAGAGAGAGAGAGACAGACAGACAGAGAGAGACAGACAGACAGACAGACAGACAGAGAGAGAGAAAGAAAGACATCGGAGCAGATCGGAGGAGAAATAAATCCTCCCCCCGCGACCGAGGAGGTGGGGGAGGAAACATGAAAAGAAGCATTTGAAAGAAGACTTAAAAAAAAAGTTTGCACCTGGACATAGATACACATATATACATATATATATATATTATATATAAAAACCCCAATAAAAGATGCGGTGCTCCGGGCCGGAGATTGCAGGGTTCCTCGGTGGGAATGAGCACTCGCTGAGCTGCTGAAGGATCGGGAGCGCAGAGGACAAGATGCTCGGGTTTGGACGTACAACTCGGGGTTTCGAAATAATTTGATGCAAAGCAATTGTTGGGGATTCTTCTTCTGCTTCTTCTTCTTCTTCTTCTTCTTCTCATCACTTTTCTTGCAAAGCAATCGTGCGATCAATGGAAACACCTCGAAACAACCCGGGGACAGGCAACCGCCCAGCACCCAGAGAAAGGTGAACAGGAGAAATAAGCAATGACTTAAGAAGATATATATATATATTATTTTTTATCGTGGGGGGGGGGGGGTGGGTGGTGGGGGAGTTTATTGTTTTATCGTTTTTGTTAAAAAAAGAATCGATTTTTAATAGCAAGAGAGCAAAAAAGAAATCCCCCCCCCCGCGTCGAATCGTCTTCGAGTCAACTGGAAGAGGAAAGCCTCCCCCCCTCCTCCCACACCCGCCCCCCGCACCCCCACCACCGCCACCAAAAAAAAAAGGACTTGAATGAAACGTTTCGCCTGGTTTGCGAATTTTATTTATTTGCGGTCTTCACGCCGGCCATCGGGTTGCGATTGGCTTTACTCCTGACCCCGGAGAGGGGAGTGGGGGTGTCGGTCGGTTTGGGTGGTGGGGGGGGTGGTGGTGGTGGTGGTGGTGGTGGTGGTGGGGGGCATAAGTAAATACAGCTGTGTAAAACAAAATTATTAAGAGGGCGAAAAGAAAGTTTAAGGGAAGAGTCCGGCGGATCCTCGTACCGTCATGGCTCGCCTCTCTGAGCGGTCTGGGCTGTGCTCGTCAGCCCTGGTTGTCGGGCTGTGTGTGACTCTGGTGAGCTTTGCCAGGCTCGGGCTCTGCGCTTCCAAGGCGATGGTGTGTCAGGAGATCACGGTGCCCATGTGCAAAGGCATCGGCTACAACCTGACCTACATGCCCAACCGGTTCAACCACGACAACCAGGACGAGGCGGGGCTGGAGGTGCATCAGTTCTGGCCGCTGGTGGAGATCCAGTGCTCGCCAGATCTCCGCTTCTTCCTGTGCAGTGTCTACACTCCCATCTGCCTGGTGGACTACAAGAAACCTCTGCCCCCTTGCAGATCCGTCTGCGAGAGAGCCAAGTCGGGCTGTTCCCCTCTGATGAGGCAGTATGGCTTTGCCTGGCCGGAAAGGATGAACTGTGACAAGCTACCGGTACTCGGGGACCCCGACAATTTGTGCATGGACTATAACAGGACTGAAGTGACCACACTCTCTCCACCGTTCCTGAAGCCCACTTATCCACCCAAGGGTCCCAAAGTCAATACAAAATTGAGACCAATGCCTCCCTATCCTGGCCATCAGCCTGCCCAGCCTGGGGATTGCCATGGGGAATGTAGGTGTAAGGAGCCCTTGGTCTTGATCTCCAAAGAAAATCATCCTTTGTACAACAAGATCAAGACTGGACAGGTGCCAAACTGCGCTATTCCGTGCTATGAACCTTATTTTAACCAGGACGAGAGGACCTTTGCCACATTCTGGATAGGCCTGTGGTCCATCCTATGCTTCATCTCCACCTTCACCACAGTCTCCACTTTCCTGATTGACATGGAAAGATTCAAGTACCCAGAGCGTCCCATCATCTTCTTGTCAGCCTGTTACCTGTTCGTGTCCATCGGCTACATTGTCAGGCTGATCACCGGCCACGCCAACGTGGCTTGCAACAATGATTACAATCACATCCACTACGAGACCACAGGTCCTGCCCTGTGCACTGTGGTCTTCCTGCTGATCTACTTCTTTGGTATGGCCAGCTCCATCTGGTGGGTGATCTTATCTTTCACTTGGTTCCTTGCGGCTGGTATGAAATGGGGCAATGAAGCCATCGCCAGCTATTCCCAATATTTCCACATGGCAGCTTGGCTCATCCCAAGTGTTAAGTCCATAGCTGTGCTAGCACTGAGCTCTGTGGATGGGGACCCAGTGGCTGGGATCTGCTATGTAGGGAACCAGAATCTGGACAGCCTCCGAGGATTTGTCTTAGCTCCTTTGGTCGTCTACTTGTTCACAGGGACAATGTTTCTCCTGGCTGGCTTTGTGTCCTTGTTCAGGATACGGAGTGTCATCAAGCAAGGAGGCACCAAGACGGACAAGCTGGAGAAGCTGATGATCAGGATCGGGATATTCACTGTGCTCTACACCGTCCCCGCCACCTTGGTGGTGGCTTGTTTCATCTACGAACAACATTTCCGCGAGAGCTGGGAGAAAGCATTGACCTGCTCATGCCCCGGAGAGGAGAACTCCCCCAGGCCAGAGTATGCTGTTTTCATGCTGAAGTACTTCATGTGCCTGGTGGTGGGCATCACCTCTGGCGTGTGGATCTGGTCTGGGAAGACCCTGGAGTCTTGGAGGCTCTTCACCAGGAGGTGCTGCAGAGAGAGGAAGCCCACCAACGTGTCCATGTACAGCGAGGCCAGCACAGCACTGACAGCCCGGACAGGGGTAGCCAGCTCTGCTTCATACCACAAACAAGTGCCACTATCACATGTTTAATGTTTTCTAGCCGTGGGGTTGTGTGTGTATGTATGTGTGTGTGTGTATATATATATATAATATGTACATATATAGATATATAAACAAAAAAAGAGGTAATACACCTCTTATCTGGTTTGTCCTTTACACTGAGCCAGTTTGTGTGTTTTTTAAATGTTTCAGCACATTGTTGCCCGTGTACTTTGATAGGTACACTTTTGACAGCTTCGGTGGTCAGAATCCTTTTGCATATAGAAGCATAGAAAATGTACACACAGGAGAGGAGCAGAGATGGCCATTGTTGTCTCTGCTGGCTCTTTGAAAAGCAATCCTTTCAGGCCCACTGACCTGCCCTTTCCTCGACGCCTACAACATACTCATTTTTAGGAATAAAAAAAACGTGAAAATTTTGTAGCCTTCATATCAAGTCGGTGAAAACTGCATAAAGTAACTAGTTTGAGAAACTGTCTGTTTAGCCTTCACTCTCAGCAGCCTAAGAGAGAGAAAGCCCTGAATCTGCACTTTGTAACACCATGTTCACCATAAGTCGTGCGGAAGAGAAGAAAGGTAGAATCTCTGATGGCGAGAGAATTTTGCCAGCATTTTCCCCAAGGTTCATGGCAGGTCTCCAATCCTACCTTTCTTATGAGCTGATATAAAGCATTTATGTGCCGCTCTTGAGCACAATAAAGCACCCATTATTTAAATGAACCCATGAGGTGATGCGAACATGCAGCAATGACTAGAGAAAGCTCGCAGGGTGATTCTGCCAACAAGAAATGAACACAGAGATGGTTTCGCTGCAGCTGATATGTCTTAAAGGTCTTTGTCAATAAGTGGCACACTGAACAGATGTGGCGTTAGGAGGTGAGAATAGTCCTTATGTTATTATGATACCATGCAATGAGGGGTGTCTGAAAGCTGGAGCGCCTTTTTAAAACAGGTGAGCGCTGAATACAGGCAGCAATCAATACTGCCAATTTCGTGCCTTAATTCTAAGCCCATCCGTGCGTGTCTTTTAATATCTAATTGTGTTTATGACATGTTAAAGGGTTGGCGCAGGGAACCATTAACCGTCAAAAGAGTAGAATGGCCATGACAAAGCATGCCACACCGACAGGCGCCCTCTAGCTAGCAGGTGGAGGTTAAAATCTACTTGAACTACATTTGTTTCTGTAGCTTTTCACAACCAGAAGTGAACAGAGGGATGGTTTCGCCACAGCTGTTCGATACGAAAATGTGTTTTCTGTGCATTCCTGGATCTGAGCACCATATCATAGGCTCAGAATTACAGGGCAGACAGGTGTGGACTACAGAGCGTTTGTCACCACAGCATCTCTCAGCAACAGTTGCCGCCACTCTGGTGTGGGTTGAGTTGGTTTGAAAGGGAGCGTCCAGGGGACAGTTGGCATCACTCATTTCTTTCACTAAAGGTCTCGAGTGGCGTTACACGAATTAACAGCCTGCTAATGTAAACATTTTCTCCTTTGTCTTGTGATTGTTCGTAATTGGCAAGTGTTGGGCGGAGGGGAGGTGTATTTGTTTAACATGGCTGGTCGCAAGGGGTTGAGACCCTTATCCCCAATACTGGTCATCTCCGATCCAGAGAGAGAGAGAGAGAGAGAGAGATGGCAGCCTCCTGTTGACAGAAAAGCCGCTAGCCCTTTTTCTGCATCACACTTTCATTGGAGTGTTAGAAACCTGCTGCACGGATGTAAGCAAAATCAGCCACTCTTGATCCAATGACCGGCAGAGTACACACATGACACTTAGATAAGGACAGGATCAGGCCTGGCTGTGATCCTTGTTCCCCCCCTTTATCATCACAAGCCAGTGGCCACTTTGTACAAAACAAAACTTAATTACAGGGAAAAAAAATTACTTTTATATAACGCAGAAAAATACAATCTTTTTAAACCAGCATGTTCTTATTTCTCGCCAAATTCTTTACACCAGCAATTAGACAACAAATCTGAGCCCCGGTCACTGGCAATAAACACTTTGACCTCATGCCGTGAATTACACATCCCTCAGGGGAAGGTTTAGTTTGAGAGAAATTCAAAGGTGAAGACTGTCTGGTTGTCAAGATTCACACACATGTTTGATCCCACATCACACCATGCTCATCACCAAGTACTATAACCAAACACATGCCTTTAGTCTGAGTGTAGCCTGTGTTGTTTTAAGCTTTGTCTAAAGCAGCAGAATCGCTCCCATCAGTTTCTAGCCCTTAATTCAATCGCATTTATCAAGTCTGTATCTCACTCCCTGGTGCTTAGTTATTATCCCACTGAAAATTACGTGTGTTGGATCCAGTGTAGTCATGGGCTATCGTATGACTCCAGCAAATGCAGCCCAATAAGAGAATGGATTCAGTAAAGTTTTCTTTTCTTCCTCCTCCTCCCCTGAAAGCATTGTCTCAAGTTGGGAGACATAGGAACAGGAGTAGGCCATTTAGCCCCTCGAGCCTGTTTCGCCGTTCTATTACATCATGACTGATCTGTACCTCAACTCCATTTACCCACCTTTGCTCCATATCCCATAATCCCCTTACCTAATAGAAATCTATCCGCTCAGTCTTGAAAATTTCAATTGATACGGGATAGTTCAACTGGCACCATCTAACTCAGCCAACTGGCTGTTCTCGTTGCGTGAACCTGAACACTGAGTGCTGGCAGCCTATTCAACCATGAGCGGCAGTGCAGCTGAGCCTGACCCTGCTCAGCAGCAATGCCCCTCACACTCGCTCTGTTCAGCCAAGGCCACTGGGATAGGAACTAGAAGAGAGTTTTCTCTTTGCTTCCTCAGCTTGCAAGGGACAATCGTAGCTCCCCAACTACTGCCCCATCTGAGATCAGCACAGGCTGAGCAAGCATGAGACTATCGTCTGTCACTAGATGTTACTACCATGCTTTGCAAATACAGTGCTCTAGTATCGTAGATGCTTCGCCACTGGAACCCAGGCATCTGGAGGTCACAGGCATCCAGTGCAATACAGGCTTCACCTGGCAGGGTGCTAAAGTTTGGTCAGACGTGAAATGAAGGTGGGTGAATGAGTAGCACTTCTTTAATCAGTAATAAAACACTTGCTGTGCCGCTGTGAGAGGCATTTAGAAGGCACAGACAATCAGCAGGACACAGGCATCTGAGAGCATCTAGGCATCCAGAAGGTTCAGGCATCCAGTGAGATACAGGCATTTTGAAACTCCCGTACTGAATATTTGACGGGCAGAATTTTGCCTCATTGACGTGATGGGAGATGGTGGGGGAAGAGAATTCCTCCTGAGAGTCAGTGGTGAAGCAGCCTGTGCAGTAATGTAAGGATCTGCCTCTGAATGGCAGATTACTGTTTACTCACTGTACTGGTGACATCTTGTGGTGCAACGCCTGTAATTGCCACGTGTCCAGCCATTGTTTGACATTGCCCTGGCTTTGACCAGATGCTTTGATGTTGAACAGTCAAGGGTTCAGGAGCAGAGTGAGACATGTCTGTTCCGTGCTTTGCACTTCTACTTTGCAGCCTGTATAAATGTAACACGGAGGGTTTACCCCCTGCCTGGTTTCCCCTTGTAGCATTGTGCTGAAATCACTTTCCTTTTAAATGTTTAAGGGGATTGCGGACAGTCACAGACATTGTGACTTAGGCCCTGTCTAAGTATTGTTGAGTGATTTACATTCCAAATTGCCTTGCCCCTCGATGTGTGGATGAGTGTTTGTACATCCACCAAAAATTGAACACTGGAACTTTAATCTGTCATCTCTTCTCTTGCTTCCTTCATAGTCCATTTCAAGATCTTTTCAACCGTGCCTTCGGTCATCTTTCCTCCTCCACCCCCTTTGCCCTCTGTTCCTTTATGATCCCAATCTGCAGTTTGGGTGTAAACCCCTCATTGTTCAGCACCTTGGGATGTCCTCCCGATGTGAAAGGTGCTACACAAATGCATTTTGTTGTTGTTGTTGTCTCCTCTTTGTACATCTTTCTTTCTCTCTTTCTACGTAGCTACCTTTATGTATCTCTCAGTCTGCTTTTTTACCTCCTTTTTGGATTTTTTTATACCTTAGTCACTTGTCCTCTCTGTCTCCCTTGGTTCTTATCCTCTGTCAAAATGCATTGGGGTTGGGAGGGGACCCAGTGAGGACATTTATACAGCACACACCACAGCTGCCTGATACTTTTAAGACATTGGGGCAACAATCTTTCAAGTGTAATAAAAGTACAGATGATATATGACTTGTTGCTCAGTGCAGTGAGTTGGCCCAGTGTCGGGAGTTGGTGCAGGTGACAGGAATGTTCTGTGCACCTTCAGTGGTTTAGTCCGAGCGCGCTGAAGCTTTCACGGCTTTTAAACATTTCAGCTCAAAAAGAGTACAATCCACATTCAGCCTATTACTTATCCCGCCTTTAACAAGGTCTTCAATGGGAAACAATTCAATCTGCACTTAAACAGAAAGGATGAGAACAGTTTTTTTTCTTCTTCATAACCTCAATGCGAATGTACATACTTTTTTTTTGATAGAATCAATCTGCAGCATTGAAACAGGCCGTTTGGCCCAATTTGTTCAGCTTCAAACACAGTGCCCAGCAGTGAGTTCCACATTCTCACCACCCTCTGCATAAAGAAACTCCCTTTTAGATCAGTTAGTGGCTGTCTTATATTTATGTCCCCTTCTTATGTTTAATTCAGTCCCGTGTCTCCTGAATGTGTTGCACGAGCGTGTTACAGATTAACAAATGTAAATAATTCTAAGGATGACTAGCTAATTACGGGTTTGTTGCAAGTCTATTTATACCTGGGCAGTTCTCGGCTCAGAGCTCACATCTGTGATTGTATGTAGGTCCCCTAAACGTGTTCTGAGGTTTTAAGTTAATTTTAGATTTTTTTTTCGCTTTTTATATAGTTTTAAAACTTTGTATGTATTATATTTTGGAGAGAAAGGCGGAGATTTTATAACAGAGGGAAAGATTAGATATTTATCGAAAGATTTTCTGTGGTCCACAGTTTTTTTTTGTTTCGTTTTCTGATTTTATTCTAGGAACGAGAAAATAATAAAGTTGAAAATGATGAGCAGTATGGTGTTTTGAATTTGTCAGTTTCCCACTTTTTCTTCACTTCTAATAATAAAAATAATCCTTGCATTTGATACAGAG